AGGGGGGGGGGGTACGTGGACAGGATATTGCCAAGCTTGTATCGCGATTTAGTCCATTTTAGTCTTATCATAAGCCTAAAAAGCTATCAGTAAATTTGGACTGCGAGAAATGACACTCTGTTTTACTTTTCGCTCAGTTCAGCTGTAGGAAACCGGCGTTTGTGGTGTAAGGGTTAGGGTTTTGGCCCCTGCACTCAAACTATGTGAATACGATTCCGGCCTTAATTATAGAGTCTCTCTGTCTACTTTGACACTGAATCCCACCGAGCCAGGCTGGCCCTGATAGATATGATACAAATAGTATTATGGCAGTGAATAAAATATTTATGATCCAATTAGCCCCAAGGAACTGGTTAGGGCGGGTGTAATCATAGAACCAAAGAGAGAACCCCATCAACCACCTGCTGTGAATGAGATTCCTGTAAGACAACAGGCCACATCATTAGCTCTGTTGGTATCATGCTCAGTCGTGATGCAGTTGGCTTTTGGTTTACGTTGTTTTATGTAGGTGTTTTACACTTTCAAAGACGCAGTTTGCATCATTTGGAAGGCGGCCTTAGACCCTGTCTTTTAGGGCCAACCGGAGTTAAGAGAGACACAACGTCCTAGTAAAAATGCCGGGATACTCGATAAAAATATTCTCCATACGGGAATCGAGCTCAGATCTCCTGCATGCGACGGCGAAGCGCTTAACCGTGACAGCAAAAGCGCCGGTGGCCTTCGTTTTGATCCCAACACGATATTCTTACTTTCGGGTGGTTTCAGGAGTTGCACCCCCCCCCCCTTTTCCCCCTGTCTTCCTAGTCTGTTTACCGTCTGAGCAGCATGTCTCTGTTGCAGGGAGTTCTACCCATGTCAGAAATGGCTGGTGGACTTTCAATGAGGGGAAGCTACCGACACAAAATGTTGAACTGTATACACTTATTGGTGGCTCACGCTGACCTCACGAGTGTTTGCTTGGAATAAACAAAAGCACATCGATACTATAACAGGCATTTGGTGGTAGGAAAAAGGAAGATTAATAAAAAGAAACATCGGAGGGTGAGAGTAAAGAAGTCGACCCTGTCAGTGGTGCCCCCCCCCCCCCTTCCACAACTGTCTGTACTAATGTAACAGAAATTGGATAATGAACCAAAACGCTAAAATTTAGGTGGGATATGTTCTTGCCAAAGTTTGCCCGATTTTATTATGCCAATAGCCTTTATGATTTGATTTTCCTGGATAGATGCCTCACTGAATTCATCAAATCTGATAAAACTCGAGGGTTTTACATTCGAGGTCACTGACATGCTCGTATCCGACAGATATAATCAAATAAGGGCTAGTAGTGGTTCTCAAAACGAAAGAGTTCAGCGAGGCCAAATGAGGCTCTGAGACATCTGGGCTAGTTACTAAAGATCACTATAATATATTTCACAGAAATACTATTGCCAGTCGCAAAACTCTATTGAGGCTTTAAGAGCAGCCTCAGCCCTACATACTGAAATCATTTCTAATAGGTCAAGACCACTGAAATTTGATGGTAAGGGGCTAAATGAAAACCAGATGTTAAATACCCCACCATACAATCATGGCAAAATGCTTGGTATAAAAAAACACACACATTCAAGGCTTCAGGATATGGTTACAGTCCTGAACATAATATATTAAATGTGCCCCTACCCAGCAGTGTAGGCCAAGCGACCTCAAATTTTGGAATCTGTCAAGCTGATAAATCGGATATTTTAGCGGGCTGGGATCAAGGAAGAAATTGCTTCAGAGATCATTGCTCAAGCACTTGCCTTTTTATTTAGAGGCAAAGGGTGAAAGATGCATGATTATGGTCTGTTACCACTGTTAGCGAGCATTGTGATTATTAGGATAGCAAAAGAATAAACGCCTTGATTGGCATGATATTATCTTATTTGGTGTCATGAAGGACAAAAGGGCATACTATGCGGGTTCGAATCCCAAAGCGACCATTCTTTAATTTAGAAAAACTATGGAATGTCCAAACATCTCCACTCGCTTTGATACTTTTGTGAGGAGCTGGGCTCTGATTTGGGAAGTCAGACCTCCTATATATTCTAAGAGTATTTGGACAGAGTAGTTAAACACATTCTATGCCCTACATTGGCGGCTAAAGACTGAAGGTGCGAACAACACTGAGGGTCTTATTCAACTGCGCTAGGTGCTGGAGGTTATTTCTATTAATCATGGCTTGTACCAACCACGATTCAATCACTCAGATCATGGTATCCACCAACTGACGCCCTCTCTGTTCAAGCACTCTAAGAATATACTTATAATATGACTTACAATGAAAAGGAGGAGAAGATATTAGGACGGTAGATGTTTGATAGGAAAGAAGGAGCAAACAACACCAGAGCACCCGCCAACAAACCATTACCAACACTTTAGACACGTGAACCTTTCATCAATATAGAACTCAACATGCCCATGTTTCAGGCTGATAAAAAAAAAAACTCGTTAGCGTGTGATCATTAAACATGATGCCATTATGTACATATTACAATATCTTGTGTGCTCGTAAAACATTTAGTTTGTTCTTAAGTTTCATAAGCAATTGAAACCTACCGACAGAATTCCACGTCTCAGATTAAATCAGGTTTCTTAGATTTGGCCAGCCTGAAAGTGATACCGATTTAATCTACAGAAGCTGGAGCTTTAGTGTGCTCTTTATAATGCAATCCAGAATTAATTGTTTGTAAATTGTTTGTTCTGTATGTTTATGTGTACGTTTATTTGTTCGCTTATGATTGTTTTTGTCTTGTTATTCTAATGTTATCGTTGCTGACAATAATTGCTTTTCGTTCGCTTTTTGTTATTGTTACTGTTATTGTTATTGTTATTGTTGTTGTTATTGGTATTGTTATTGTTATTGTTAAAATGTTGAGAAGAAAATGAAAGCAAAAATGTAACATCGGAAGGATGTTGGAGACCAGGATCTTTTACGGTGGCAAAGACGGAAATAAAACACACGATGGAATGTATTCCTCGTACTCATTTTGTTCGCTTATTTAATTTTGAATGAGTTTGACAAATAAATAGAAAATAAACAGGGCTTTTCGAAGGTGTAGCACTGGGCCCAAAGGGAAAAGGTGAGAAGGAGAAAGAAGGAAGTGAAGGTGGCAGCTCGTATAAAGATCGAAATAGATAGTCCTCATGAACATCTGAGATCAAACTTTGCTAATGTATCCTTCTCCGTCATTTCAGACTTTACCTCTCCATCAAATATGTCGTGGGTCTTTTTTCATCACCCTCACGTCCAACCCGGGAGTGATGAATTGAGATGGGGATAATCTGGAAAAGGTACGATTTTATTTCTCGTCTTCAGTTGCAGAAGGCGCTATTCTGTCTTCTTAGATCATGGCTTATCAACGTTTATATTGCCCATTCCCACTTTTGCAACAGCTAAGAGGCTATCATTAATTACTTACCGCCCACCTACATGTATTTTCAAGCGGGGAATTAGACAATAATAATCTATAACTACCTGGTTGATCTCCACCGCCCACCAAAATATATCATATTGCCCACTTATAGGTCTCGAATCTTTACTATTCCCTTATACTTTTATACATTTTTTTCACGAGCACCATATGACCATTATCGTGTTGATGATCTCCCCTTGACTCAAACGGTCACCGGTCTTGCAGTCACAAGTTGCTGATTGCATTCGATTTGAACTAGCTCATTTATGTAGAGCGAGACAGAATCAGCAATGACACTTTCTTCGCGTCATTAAGCGCTAAACGAGCCATGGAATGCGTGTCTGCTTTATTACTTAATCATGAGAACGGAGGAAAACATAAAAAAGCACGTAATGCAATAGTCTTCATCAATGTTTGTCAACCTTTTTATAGCCAGCGCGCACTTTTGCCACCTTTAAGAGCCTAAAACTTTCGTAACTCCCACCACCTGCACTTATTTCCAAGTGGTGTATTATATAACACCTGTCACTAACTGGCTGATCGCCACCGCTTACCACAACTGGCGAATCGCCCACGATAAGTAATTCCTGTCACTACCCAAATGATCCTCAGCACTCACAAAAGTTACAGACTTGCCCTGCACACTAGTTGGCGATATCGCCCAGGCTGGGATATAGTGATGTGTGCTTATTGGTGGTGTGTAGATGGAGAATCTTTTGTTGAAATCAAAAAGTAGTCCTGCGGCTCAAATCGTCATACATCGGAACTTCTATTGAGAACTGCTCTGCAGCAGTCACTAGGTGT